TTACTCAGTATAAACCCTATAAGACATAAATTAAATGATGTTTTAACCTTTAAAAAGATCTCCATTTCATTATTAAAATACACAGTTTCATATAGAAAAATTCTTGGCTTCTATAATTTTTACTAAAATACTCTCTTCCTTTCTTCCCTAAGCACAGACCAACACACACATACGGATCATTTTTTGTATTTAACTGTATGGCACAGCCCTGTTCCTGCGATGGCTTTCTTAGTTTCTTTTTTTTTTTTTTTTTTTTAATTTTATTTTATGTGTATGAGTTTATTGCCTGAATGTAGATAAGTGCATCCTTGTTGTGCAATGCCTGAGGAGGACAGAAGAGGCCATTGGATCCCCTGGAACTGGAGTTACGGACAGTTGTCAGCTGCCATGTGGGTGCTGGGATTTGAACCCGGGTCTTCTGCAAGAACAACGAGTGTTCTTAACTGCTGAGCCATCTCTTCAGCCCTGGCTTTCCTAGTTTCTTTAGCAATCTAAATAAGATTCTCATCAACAGGACCAGACCAGTAGATACTTGGCTTAGGTGTGCTTGAGATGCTTTTAGCATCAAAAACAGTTAAAGTGCATATGTGTAGTAAGGCCAGCGCTTTCTACTGAAAGGCAAGGCAGCCTGGTGTAACAATGCAGCTTGGCATAAAGTGACTGCAACAGAGGTGTAGATTGCCTGGGGTGATGGCTAGCACTATGGCAAAGCTTTCCTTAGCTGTAGAGCACATGGAAAATCCACTGTTAGTGAGCTTTCCGCCCTACAGAAACTGTGTTTCCAAGACCTTTGTTCTTCGTAGGCCATATAAGTACTGGCACTATATCTGAAATACTGCTTATGAGAGTGGTTTAATATTTTTTCATGTTTCTTTTTTTTTTTTATGGTCTTTTTGAGACGGGGTTTCCCTGTAGCCCCAGCTGGCCTGAAACTCACTGTGTAGACCAAGCTGGCCTTAAACTCACAGAGATCCGCCTGCCTCTGCCTCCCGAGTGCTGGGATTAAAGGTGTGCACCACCACGCCTGGCTCATGTTGCTTTTTAGTTATATTTTTAAAAAATTATGTGTTAATGAGTGTTTTGCCTGCAGGTATGTAAGAGCACCATGTGCATACATCTGTGGAGACAAGAAGAGGGCATGGGATCCGTTAGAACTGGAGTTATGGAGGGTTGTGAGCTACAATGTGGGTGCTGGGAACCAAACTAGGTCCTCTACCAGAGCAGAGCAACAACTGCTCCTTAACCACTGAGCCATCTCTCTAGCCCCTTTTTTTAGCTATTCTTATAAACTTGTAGATAAGACTTGTTTTTAATTGTTGGTGTTGTAAAAAAAAGACTAGGAAATTTATTGGGTCTTGTGCACTTGGTATCAAGAATGGAAGACCCAAAGTCCCACACAGGAGTCTGGCCCGATGGGGAGAGTAGATACAGTGTCTGGCCAAGGACCTAGTGAGGCAAGGTACATGGCAGTGAGAGGAAAGAGGGGGAGGGGAATGAAGTAAAAATATACAAACATGACATACCATGGAAAACTGATTCTGTAAAACGAAGCTGGAGCAGCCATGTTAATATCCAACAAACCAGAGCAATGAACATTCCCAGAGATAAAGAAGGTTTTCTCATAATGAGGTCACATCTGTAATCTGAAATGCCATGAACTAAATAGCAGAGTTCCAAAGTATGTGAACTGTAAGGAAATATGAGTATGTCCTCAGGGGTGGTCAGTAATCACAGGAAGCTGCTGACCACTGGGGCAGCCAGCTGCTGACCAGCAGGTGGGAGCGCTCCACCTGGGCACTGTGGAATGGATAGTCTGCACTTACTGAGATAGTCATGAAAATTATTTAAGTCATATAAATGATGTTCTCTGGCTCCGCTGGGATTAACAGTGGTTCTAGTAAGAGAAGAGTGAGCCCTGAACAGTTAGTAACTGAACATTTCTGATAATCTGTGAGCTAAAGAATAAAGGGTGAAGTTTAGTATTAGAACAGTTGAAATGAAAACAGCCTGTGAGAACCTGTAATACACCCCTGAGAGCCATGGGTGGACATGGATCAGAAGTCATGAAGCCCCGCTTCCACCTTGACACTAGGAAAGAAAAGTGAATTCAGACCAGACTGAGAATGAGATAGGACATAGGTCAGTGAAGTGGAAAACCAAAGATGGGGCCAGTAAAAGCAAAAAGCTGGTTCATTGAGAAAAATTGATAAAATTGGTAAACCTCTATCCAGGCTGGTGAGGAAGGTAAATGTAGGTTACCAGTGTCTGGAATGAGAGATGTGACCCCCCCCCCAAACTCTACAGATGAGGAGACACTGAGGGAGTGCTAGAGCAGCGGAAGCAGTGATTCTGCCATGCCTAGAAAGACACCCCTGCAGAGCCTGAAAGAACTCAAGCAGAGCCTAGAGCTGTGAAGATTATTACATTTTTACCATCCAGAGTCATGAAAAGTGAAAACTTCCCTCACAGAAGAATCTTAGGCCTATATTTTATTCATTCATTCATTCTTTTTGCGGGGGGCGGGGGTGTAAGGTCTTATTCTGTGTCTCAGGCTAACTTGAATGTACAGCATTCCTCCTGCCTCAGCGTCAGTGCTGAGATTACAGGAGTGAGCCACCGCACTCAACTAGACCCAGATTTTAATGGTGAATTCTATCAAACATTTGGGAGAGGTTGCTAACTCTATATCAACACTTCTAGAAAAGTAATCACCAGATGTTTCCCGCTCATTCTGAGGCCTTCATCACCCTGATATCAAAACTAATACAGACATATAAGAAAACTACAGATGATATCCCAGTAAGCAGAGGTAAAGTTTTGAAGCAACATTTTAGCAAGCGGGATCCAGTAATATGTAAAAGATTGGAGTCTATCCCAGGAGTGTGAGGTTGGTTTAGCAGTTTGTTTGTTTTAATGTTTATTTTTTATATGTATGAGTGAATTGCCTGCATGTGTGTAAGTACACCCATGTTGTGCAGTATCTGTGGAGGTAAAAATAGGGTGTCAGGTCCCCTGGAACTGGAGTTACAAACATGTGGATTCTGGGAATCAAACCCAGGTCCTGTGCAAGAGTAGCCAGTGCTCTTAACCACTGAGCCATCTCTCCAGCCCTGGTTTATTAGTTTTTAAAAGTCAATGTCAACCTTCATACTAATGAAGAAAAGGAAAACCCATGTGATCATCTCAGACTCAAAAGATTTGACACATTCCATCTGTATTCCTGATGAAGATTTTAACCAAATTACAAATAGAAGGGAACATTTTCATCTGATAAAGATCTATTTTTAAAAATCTACAGCTTAAAACTACAGCTGGGGATGGAGAGATGACTCAGCAGTTAATAACACTAGCTGTTCTGACAGTTGACCTGGATTTGGTTCCTAGCACCCACATGACAGCTAACAGCTATCTGTAACTCCAGTTCCAGGAGATCCAACACCATCTTCTGGCCTTCACAGTGTACTTACATGCAGGTTAACTACTCATACACATAAATAAAAATAAATGCATAATTTTAAAAAATTATAGCTAACATCTTACTGGTGAAAACTGATCACCGTCCCTCAAGGCAGAGCAAGACTGCCTTGTGTCTGTGGCTCACTTCTGCCCAGCACCAGAGCTGCTGCACAGTACAGACAGAACAAGAACATGTGGGCAGAAAGGATGGTCCTGTCACTTATAGAGAAAATTTGATGGAATTCAGAAAAAATGCTATTAAGGCTGACAGGTTCACTTAGTAACCGTGTAAGAAATAAGATCAGTTTTTAAAAATTAATTGTATTTCTGTATATTAGCATCAGGCATTTGGAAATTGAAATAAAAAATTATTCCAACGGCACCAAAGTAAATGACACACAGGACTAAATCTTAAAAAAAAGTGTTGAGTTCTGTGCCTCAAAGATGAAAACTTTGCTGAAAAAAATTTAAAGACAGCAATCAATGGAAATACTGTGTCCATGGTTTTGAAAAACTCACCTAGCTGAGATGAATTTTCTCCCTAAATTGGTTTATAGAATTGACACTGTTAGGTTCCAGTAGACTGCGTTGTAGAAATGATATCATTGCAAATTGGAAAAAGAACAGAGTTGGAACTCTAGTTCCACTTGAGTTCACCACTAAAGCTGTAGAATCTTGTTGATGTGGTATTGAATAAAGATACAGAAACTGACCAGCACAATAGAGAAGTTTAGAATACAGACCCCAATAAGGAGAACTGATTTCAACACAGGTGCAGAAGAAAGGTGTCATGCATAAAAGGCATTCTGTGATTCATGAAATGCTAGGACAGGTTACGCTGATGACAAAGCAGATCAGTGGTTGGTCTGGCCTGGCAGGAGAAATTACAAAGAGACACAAGGTATACTCAGTAGTGATAAATCAATTCATTATCTTCACTGTGCTGATGGCAGTGTGGGCCCATGTACTCCAGGGTCTGTGACAGGTGCATAGTGGAAGTGCCATTATGCCTTCCTAAAGCTAAAAAGTTAATACATAATGCTGCAGTGACTGCCCGTCTCATACGTTGGTTCTCAGAGGAGTGTCGCAGATGGTGTTGGCAATGACAGAGAAAACGAGGCTGTGAGGAGGTTCCTTGAACTCTTAGGCTGTCATTGGCTGAGGGCAGAGCTGGCCAGGCTGTTGCCCATCCTCCTGCTTGCTGCCAGAGGATGTGTCCACAACTGGGCTTCACATTTAATCCTCCTGGCCATTCCGTTCTCTTTGTAATTATAGTCTATTGGAAGTGCTGTTTTCCTACATCCTTTAGTGGTTTTTTTTTAAATATTTTTATTTTTTATGTGTATGAGTGTTATGCCTGCATGTAGGTAAGTGCACCCGTGATGTGCAATGCCTGTGGGGGACAGAAGAGACTGTTGGATCCCTTGGAACTGGAGTTATGTGCAGTTTTTAGATGCCATGTGGGTGCTAGGATTTGAATCCAGGTCTTCTGCAAGAGCAGTCAGTGTTCTTAACTGCTGAACCATCTCTCCAGCCCCATCCTTTAGTGTTCTTGCCCTAGGTGTTAGCAGGCTGATGTGTTGCATGGGTTTTGATTGCTGCCTAATGCTCCTTACAGGGCACAGTCTTTTGCTGAGCGTCTTCGCCTGGGAATCGCAGTGATCCATGGAGAAGCACAGGACGCTGAGTCAGACTTGGTGGATGGCCGGCACTCTCCACCCATGGTCAGGAGTGTAGCTGCCATCCACCCCAGCCTGGAGATCCCCAGTAAGTATCCACAGGAACCTCTGCCACTTTCCTCTGAGCATGGGATTGCTTGAATTATGGGAGTTTTGTTTTTTTGCATGAACTCTTTTGTGTGTGTTTGTGTGCAGGTACACATGCGTGTGGAGGCCAGAGATTCATGTAGTGAATCTTCCTCAGTTGCTCTCCCTCCCCCCGACCTTTTTTTTTTTTTTTGAGAGAGAGACAGAGTCTCTCACTGGCCTGGAGCTCACTGACTGGCTTCACTAGCTGATCTGCAAGCCCCAGGGATCCTCTTGTGTTAGCCTCCCCAGCACTAGGATTAGACTTACATCACTGTGCCCAGCTTTTTTACATGGGTTTGGGGATCCAAACTCAGCCCTTATACTTGTGTGGCAAGTACTTTACTGAATGAGACATCTCCCCAGATCCTCTTTTAATTTAAAAAAGTTTTATGGCTGGGTGTGGTGGCACACACTTTTAATACCAGCACTCAGGAGGCAGAGGTAGGCAGATCTCTGAGTTTGAGGCCAGCCTGGTCTACATATCGAATTTCAGGCTAGCTGGGGCTACAGGGAGACCCTGTCTCAAAAAGACCAAAAAAAAAATTTATTTTTATTTTTATTTATGTGTATGAGTGACTTGCCTGCATGTGTGATAAGTGCACCCATGTTGTGCAGTGCCTGCAGAGGCCAGAAGAGGGCATTGGATGCCTTGGACCTGGAGTTACAGAGGGTTGTTAGCTGCCATGTGAGTGCTGGGAACAAAATCCAGGTCCTCTGCAAGAGCAGCCAGTGCTCTTAACTGCTGAGCCACCTCTCCATCCCCCCTTTGTTTTCTTGATAGTGTCCTTTGATGTACAAAGAATTTAGTTTAATGAGGTCCAATTTACATTTTCATTTGTTTCGTGGTATGTGATGCAAATATCAAGAAATCTTATTTTAATTTCTTTTTTAAAACATGTTTTTTAAAACATTTGAAAGTTTTTAGACATCTCCAATTCCTTGGTTAAACTTATCCCCAGGTATTCTTATTGCTTGAATGCTTGCATAATGAGATGTGTGTGCTGGTATATGTGTGTGTTCGTGTGGAAACCCACGGCTAGTACTGGGAGTCTTCTTCAGTTGCTGCCCACTGTATTCACTGAGTCTCAGTTGAACCCAGACCTCCCCAATACAGCTAGTCTAGCCAGCCTCTTCCAAGTATCCTGTGTCAGCCAGGTACTGGGATTGCAGGTGGACTGCATACCCACCTAGCATTTTTGTGGATGAGTGTTTGCCTACATGTATGTGTTCATATGCATGCCTGGAGCCCTAGAGACTAAAAGAGGGTGTCACATTCCCTTGAGTTGTGGTGGTTATGGACTGCTTTGTGGGTTTTAGGAACTGAACCCCAGTCCTGGAAGAGCAACAAGTACTTTTTTTTTTTTTTTAGTTTTTTTGAGACGGTCTCCCTGTAGTCCCGGCTGTCCTGGAACTCACTATGTAGACCAGGCTGGCCTTGAACTCACAGAGATCCGCCTGCCTCTGCCTCCCGAGTGCTGGGATTAAAGGCGTGCACCACCACTCCTGGCTGAGCAGGAAGTACTTTTAACCACTGTCCATTTCTCAGCCCTGGATCGCTTTGTAGTTTGCCTTGGAATGTTCACTGCTGGTGTTTAGAAGAAACACCATGTATTTGTCACTTTCTTGTTACTATGACAGAATACGTGACCAAAACAGCTTAAAGGAGGAAAGGTTTGGTTTTGGCTCGATTGCAAAGAGATTTCAGCGCATCAAGGCTGGGAGCACAGTGAGGGGAACAGCTCAGTCAGTGGCAGCAGAAGCATGGGACAGTGGCTGTTCACATAGCAAGTCTGGGAGGCAGAGTGCCAGACCAGAACCAGGGTGGGTATAGCCCAGAGGCCCAGGGCCTCCTTTGTCAGCCAGAACCCCTCCTACATGCTTCACAGTCTTCTTTTTTTTTTTAATATTTTATTTATTTTCATTTTATGTGTATGTGTGTATTGCCTGCATATAGGTAAGTGCACCTGTGTTGTGCAATGCCCACAGAGGACAGAAGAGGCTGTTGGATCCCCTGGAACTGGAGTTATGGACAGTTGTTAGCTGCCATATGGGTACTGGGATTCGAACCTGGGTCTACTGCAAGAACAGGCAGTGTCCTTAACCGCTGAGCCATCTCTCCAGTGCCGCTTCACAGTCTTTAACTAGAGCCACAGCTAGGGGCCAGCCATTCAAATCAGGAGCCTATAGAGACATTTAAACACACACTGCCATCCCATATTAGCCTTGGTTGTGCTTTGCAAGTATCTAGGGTGTTCTAGATGCAAGGGCATCTGCTAGCAGAGTGTCTCCCTTTCTGATCTGGTGCCTTTGGCTCTTTCTTTTCTTGACTGATTGCTCAGGCTTGTACACCCAGTGCAGGACTGAGCAGAGGTGCACAGGGACATCCTTGACCTATTCCCACCTTTAGGTGATCCATTGGGTGTCATGTTAACTGGGGATTTTAAAACAGCCATTTTCAAGTTGAAAATGGTCCCTTCTCTTCCCAAGTGGTAACTTCTTAGAGTCTTGTTGTTTTACCTTGGAGCTTGGCACTGAATGTGTGTGTTTTATTCTGACCAGTGCTGATTCCTAAAGAAAAGCCCCCGATCACAGTTGTTGGCGACGTGGGAGGAAGGATTGCCATCATTGTGGTATGTAGGCCTCTTTCATTGTTACCACACTTGTAAGTTGTGTGCATAAAGTTGAGGATGGTGAGTGTCATGAAGGTGGATGCCTTGTGCGGAGTGTTTGCTTTGGCCCACAAACAGAAAAATGCTAATTTGTTTTAAGGGGATGGGTGGGATGTAACTTACTTGATTGCCTAAATATGGCATAGTTATTTGCTATGTTTTGGGAAATTGTTTAATGATAAAAATGGGGTACAAAATTGATTACGGCTGTTTTTAAACAGCTAGGAAAATACCATTCAGTAAGCCCTTGAATTTAGTCCACAAAAGCCCCAAATCCATATCATTTCACATGTACACACAAAATGGTATATACATACTGCCTGTGCAATTGAAGAATGCTCCCTGGGCAGAGCCAGGGGCCATGCCGTGCCTTCTAGGCTTTCTCAAGTCCCTTTCTTCCCCCTTCCACCAGAGGCTGTTGCTAGCTGTTACTTAACTTCATAGTGTAACAACAGTGTTGTCCCTACGTTCTATAAGACTGTGTACATGGTGACCTTGGTCCATACTGTCATGGAGGTCCATCCTTGTGGTGATGAGCGCACATTGATCTTTTTCACTTCTGGATGGTGTTTTGTGATTCAGCTACGACACAACTGACACCCCTGTTCTCTAGGCACTGAAAGTTTCTCTTTTTTTTTTTTAATAAAATTTTTTTACATTATTTGTTTCTGTGTGGGGTTGGGGGGGGATTATATATGCATGTGCAGAAGTCAGAGGAGAACTTGTGGCAGTCAGTTTTTTTCCTTCCACGATATGGGTCCTGGGTATTGATGTCACCCATCAGGCTTGGTGGCAATGGCCATTACCTAGCTATTTTGTGGGCTCCAAGACAGTTTTTCAAATTCCCAACAATACTGCCTTGAACGTGCTTGTGCCCATTTTTTTGGTACATCATGTGAGGGTTAGTAGGTGCCTGAGTGGAATCAGAGTTTTAATATTTTATTTATTTTATGTGTATGCATGCATTGCCTACGCATAGGTAAGTGCACCTGTGTCGTGCAGTGCCCACGGAGGACAGAAGAGGCTGTCAGATCCCCTGGAACTGGAGTTACGGACAGTTGTTAGCTGCTTGGTGGTTAAGAACACTGGTTGTTCTTGCAGAAGACCCAGGGTTCGAATCCCAGCACCCACATGGCAGCTAACAACTGTCCATAACTCCAGTTCCAGGTGATCCAACAGCCTCTTCTGTCCTCTGTGAGCATTGTATGACACAGGTGCACTTACAAAGACAAAACAAAGGCTGGCAGGATGGCCCAATGGGTAAAAGCACTTGCGTGCAAGTCTGATGACCTGAGTTCAATCCCTGGAACCAACATAAAGGTGGAGGGAGAGACCTCTCCTGCAAGTTGTCCTCTGACCTCTGCATGCATATTGTGGCGCACACACACAAATAATAAATTTAAAAATCAAGAATTTGGGAGATGGCTCAGTGGGTAAAGTGTTCACCTCCCACGTGTGAGGGCCTGAGTTCAAATCCCCAGAACCCTGGTAAAGCTGGGTAACATGCATCTATAACCCAGTGCTCCTATGGTAAGGTGGGAGGTGGAGACAGGAGAGTCCACAGAAACTCAGGGCTAGCCAGCTCAGCTGGTTGTGCACAGCAGCAAATAACAGACCCTCCTGAGCAAGGAGGAAAGTGAAGAGCAACCTGGTTTCTATGACCTGCATAGAAGTGCCCACACTCAAACACGTGAACACACGTGGGCTTACACACAAACCCTTATTTTTTATTTTATTTATTTTTTTGTTTTTGTTTTTTTTAAGACAGGGTCTCCCTGTAGCCCCAGTTGTCCTGGAAGTCACTGTGTAGACCAGGCTGGCCTTGAACTCAGAGATCCAACTGCCTCTGCCGCCCGAGTGCTGGGACTAAAGGCATGCTCCACCATGCCCAACACAAACCCAGATTTTTTTTTCAATATTTTTTATTTTATTATTTTTATTTTATGTGTATGAGTGTATTGCCTGCATGTATGTGAGTGCACCCGTGTCATGCAATGCCGCGGAAGTCAGAAGAGGGTGTTGGATTCCCCTGGAACTGGAGGTAAGGACAATTTGTAGCTGTCGTGTGGGTGCCGGGAGTCGAACTCGGATCCTCTGCAAGAGTAGTCAGTGCTCTTAACTGTTGAGCCATCTCTCTAGCTCCACAAACCCATATTTTTAAAACTTTTCTGTTTTGAAGTAATTATATATAGGTTCATAGGACGCATGAAAAAATATGCAGGGAGTTTGTACACGCTCTTACTGTGCTTCTTCTGTCCTGCTGAACTGTGTTGCAGTAATGCAGCCTGTGAGGAACGGTGCAACAATCCATACACCTGCTTTCTTTATTGATGTATTTATGTATTAGATATTTATTTATTTATTTACTTATTTGGGTAGCACCAATTGCATGTGCTCTATATGTGTACATGAGTATGTTTGTGCATATAGCCTTCACAGCCGTCAAGGTGCAGAGCTCATGAACCACCATCCAGCACCTGTGAGCCACCCTGCCATAGCTCCCTTACCCCACCATGGTCACACCCAGCTGCTTGCCAATCCCTAACTGGCAACACTCATCTGTCCTGTCTCTGTAACTCATATTTCAAGTCATACACGTGGAATGTGTGGCTTGCCATCTTTTTGAGATGAATTTTTTTCACGTGCCACTATTCGTCAGCATCATTCCAGTTGTCTGTGTGCCTTGTTGTTCAAAGCTGAGAGTATTCCATCCTACATAGATGCTACCTTCAGCTGTTGGTTGAAGGATGTTTAGATTGTTTGTTTTCAACTGTGTGCTTTTGTGTGGATAATTTTAAGTTCTTTGTTTGCAAGGGCAGTTGTTGGTTTGCATAGTGGTTGCTAATAAGAAACTGTTGGGCAGGTGAGATGGCTCAGCAAGTAAGACTGCTTTCTACCAAGCCTGAGTTTGGTGCCTGAAACACACATAGTGGAAGGAGAGGACTGATTCTGCATGTTGTCCTCCGACATCCATGTTCATGTTGTGACACACACACCCATGCAACATATGTGTACATATGTACATACGTGTACACACACACATAAATGTAATAAAAAAATTTTTAGGGGCTGGAGAGATGGCTCAGCGGTTAAGAGCACTGACTGCTCTTGCAGAGAACCTGGGTTCGATTCCCAGCACCCACATGGCGGCTACGAACCCTCCTTAACTCCAGTTCCAGGGGAATCCAAGGCCCTGTTCTGACTTCTGCAGCATTGCATGACATGGGTCCACTCACATACATAAAATAAGTAAAATGTTTTTTTTTTTTCACAAGTACTCATTAGCTGAGCTTGGTGGTATGGACCTATGTGTACTCCCAGCTACTCAAGAAGCTATGATGAGAGGATCACTTGAGCCCAGGAGTTTGAAACACCCTGGACAACATAGCAAGATCCTATCTACAAATAAACAAAATAAAACAAAAATGAAAACCAGCAGTTTTGTTGTTTTCCCACATACAAACTAAGGAAGAGTAACAAGGAAAGGCTTGGGGAAGCCACGGCTCCATGTTTCAGAGTTGAAGGTGTCTACAAAACTGTGCTGCATTGCAGTTATCCCACAGACTGCCCTGCGTCCCTACATCAGAGGATGTCATTCTGGCCCACTGGGTGTAGGTGGAAATGGTTTTCCCCACTGACCCGGACCTGGGGCCTGGCAGAGGAGCTGGCCCTGCAAGTGTTAGGTGCTATGCAGGAGACAACCTGGGAGAACACTAGGGGTGCAGGGACACCACATGTCATGGTATGTTTAGGCAGTTTCTTTTTCCCGGTTGTCCAGCCCGTCTTTGCAAGTGTTCACATGCCTTTTACCCTGCCTATGATTTGACAGGATGACATTATCGATGACGTGGACAGCTTTCTCGCTGCAGCAGAGACCCTGAAGGAAAGAGGCGCATATAAGATCTTTGTGATGGCAACTCATGGCTTGTTATCCTCTGATGCCCCCCGGCTGATTGAAGAGTCTGCCATTGATGAGGTAGGGGGTCTGGCTGTGGGGATGGGTTGCCTGGGTATTCACTGCTTGAATCCTTAATCACAGAGCAGGAACAAGCAAGCCAGCCTAGGCTACAGAGTGAGACCCTGTCTTAAAAACAAAAAAGAATGGGTTCAAAATGTGGATTGTATTTGCATTTCATTGAATATAAGTGTCTAGTTTGAATTATAACTCACATACTGCCGTACCGTTCATACACTTCAGGCATACATTTCATTGTTTGATAGAATATCCAAAGTATAAAATGAGCACCCAGCTGATCTAAGAAGAAACTGCCCCTGTGAGCTGTCATGTGTCTCTGTGCTTCTTCTCAGTCCCTCTACCCCAGAGCTGCTCATGGCTTTGTGCTTCTCTCCATTTGCCCAGCTGGAGATTTCACATAGAGGACACTACATGCTGGTCATTTATGACTAGTTACAGTATTTTCACGGTCCATTCACTAGTGGGTACAATGCTTTGTTAGTATTTATCTATTATTGTGTGGATGTGAGTACAGTGTTCATGAGGAGATCAGAGGACAACTTTCAGGAGTTGCTTCACTCCAACTTGTAGGACCCAGGGATCAGACTTGGGTCATCAGTTGGCCAGCAGTGCCTTCACCTACTGAGCCATGTTGCCAGCCCTGGTTTTATCCACTTTTTAACTACCATGAACAGTGCTGCTACACATTCGTGTACAAGTTTTTGTGTGAATGTATGTTTTCAGTGTTATGGGGCATGTGTTTATTTGTATCTGTGTGGGTATGCATGTGTATGTGAGAACATCAGGTTTCCTCCTCTGTCATCCTCTACCTATTTCTTTAAGTCAATCTCTCTCTCTCTCTTTCTCTCTCTCTCTCTCTCTCTCTCTCTCCCTCTCCCCCTCCCTCCCTCTTTCCCTCCTTCCTCTCCCTCTCCTTCCTCTTCGCCCCCCGCCCCCCAACCTGGAGCTCACATTTTCTTGACTGGGCTGGAAGGCACAAGCCCTAGCAATCCTATCTCTGCCTCTCTCAGAGCTGGGATTCCAAGAATTTGTGGGACTTGTTAATCAGTGCTGGGGTCTAGACCCTGGTTTTCATGATTATGGAGCAAGTGCTGTTAACTGCTGAACTATCTCTCCAGCCCTTAGACTGTCTTCCAAAGCAACTGTACCATGTCACAGTCCCACCACAGTAAACAGAGGTTCTAGTTTCTCCCCATCCTCCCCAACATTTGTCACTGTCTTTTTGGCTGCAGCTGCCCTAATGGGAATGAATTTATCAAATCTTAAAGCTTGGACAGCTTTGCCTTGATGGAAACAGAACCTTGTGAGTGATAAGACATGGCCATCCTGTAGGGTGAACTTACAGGCTTGAAGCTACAGTACATTTTCAGATGAAACCACAGTGCTGATTCACTTGTTTTCTGTTTTCTGGATTTTGTTCTTCTCTGCTCTGCTCTGTTCTGTTCTGTTTTGTTTGCAATCCTGGGCCTGAACCCAGGGCCTCACATGCCAGGCAAGCGCTCTCCCATGAGCCACACCTCACCCTGAAGCCACTTGGCGTCTGATGCTCCCCATGGCTACTGTCTGCTCCCCATGGCCAAAAAGCCAAAAAGATTACACTGTTGACTTGGCGTCTGATGCTTGTTTCTTGTGACTTACAGGTGGTGGTCACCAATACGATCCCACATGAAATCCAGAAGCTCCAGTGCCCCAAGATCAAAACTGTGGACATAAGCATGATCCTGTCAGAAGCCATCCGCCGCATTCACAATGGGGAGTCCATGTCCTACCTCTTCAGAAACATAGGCCTGGACGACTGAACAGCTCTCCTGGGGCAGAGTCCCCATGGGCCAAGCTGGAGCCTGGCATGCGCACTGGGAGGGTCCATGCCTGGCTGGGTACAGCTGACCAGAGCCGGGTTTCCTTCGTCTCCTCTCCCCACACCCTCCTGACTAATTCCTGTGAAGGTACATGGACCAACTTTTTATGTCAGTTTGGTTTTTTGTGAGTTTGGGGGATAATTTTTATAAAAGAAAAGCTTTCTCTTAAATAAGTTAAAACCTTATTGTTTTTAGTGTAGAGCCGTTTTAGAAAGTATACTTAGAATGAGATTTTTAAGCTCATATCCTTTTTCCAAAGTTGCTTGATCCAAGTGTTCAAAAAAGTTATTGAAATAAAATGACTACTGTCTGCTCCCCATGGTCAGAAAGCCAAAAAGATTACATTGTTGACTCCAGTAAGCAACGTTTTTAGAAATGCTTTTGTAAACAAGCATATGGAATATGTGGTTGTATTTATTTTCTGCAACAAAAGAGAATAAAACCTTGTGTTTTTTCTACACTTTGTGTTTGGACAGTTGTTTTATAGCTGAAATGCACAGCCTCTACATGTTGTGTGTGGTGAGGATGCCCTCAGTGGCTCCAGTCCTCTAGTTTCTGGGGTGCATGCAGTGCTTCATCCAGCCCAGCCTCCCTTGCTCCTACACATCATCAGAAGCCCTCCAGCTCTGATGCAAAGTTCCTTGATTGAAGTAGAAGAGAGACTTGAAGCTTGGGGCAGGCAGTGGGCCCGGGATTGCAGGCCTCATCGGTGTAGCTCTGCTCTCAAACCAGGATGCAGCATGGCATGCTCTAGGGACTGAGGTGCCAGGGTGGGACAGCACCACAAAGGACCGGTAGGATGCTTGTCAGTGTCAAGGTCTAAGGAAGAGACATCAGATGTCCCTGGAACTGGAGTTATCAGCTGCCATGTGGGTGCTGGAATCAAACCTGGTTCCTCTGCAAGAACAACCACTGCCCTTCTGAGCCATCTCTAGCCCCTCAAGTCTGGAAGTCTGTACATCTTCCTTAGAGAGTGGAGCAGATCTGGGGGCTGTGCCTTTACAAATGGCCCTGGGTATTGATGGCTGCATGTTCTGCACTCTCACCCACCTTGTTTTACTGAGAAAACAAGTGTCCCCACCTGGAATTCTCAAACCCAGTGTGAAAATCTGACCTTTCCTTTGTGTTTCTGGAAGGAAGTCTTCACAAATGGACAGGATTAGGAAATACTGCACTGACAGCCACACTTGGAAGATCTGTGGGAACAAGGCATCATCACACGGGCAGCAGGTATAGGGTTGGGAACTCAGTTCTGTACCTTGCTGAGGAAGCTTCAGCTGTGAATGTCTCCTCTGCAGACCAAGTGTGGCTTCTTTCCACCTTCTGCCCGTTGGGCCCCATCTCCCCTTAAAAATGCAGTGGAGGAGGCCAGGCGTGGTGGTGCATGCCTTTAGTCCCAGCACTTGGGAGGCAGAGGCAGGCAGATCTCTGTGAGTTTGAAACCAGCCTGGTCTACATAGTGAGTTCCAAGGCAACTGGAGCTACAGGAAGACCCTGTCTCAAAAAAAAAAAAAAAAAAAATGCAGTGGAGGAAGTCCCTGGGTTTCACTTTGAACAAGGATAGCATGTTCTGGTGACCTTGGGCACTTCAGTACCATAACCATGGCCTTTATCTTTTCCTAACAAGGGGAGGATGGGCTGCTGTGGATGCTGCTTGAGGGAAATGTGCTTGCCAAGCACTTTGTGTAGGAAGAACCTCTGAGTGGCTGTAAACACAGGTACTAGGCCCCAGCTCTGGGTATTTCTACAGGTGTCTTCTTTCACAAGGAAGTCATCTGAAGAAGAGGAGTGAAAGATGAGCCATGGGAGCATTTGCTTCTGGTGGCAAACAGCAGAGCTGGAATGCTGCCTACCCACAAGCTAAAGTATCGGCTCCAGAGCAGTGTGGAGGAGCCCATAGCCTGGCATGGCGAGACTGGCTCAGCTGCCACAGGGCTCAGCACAGACTCAAGGGTTTGGAGGAGCTGCCCCAGAGGTATCAGAACAGGGAGGGTGTGGCAGGTGGCTGAGGGCATATCAAGTGTGGAGAGCCAAGCCTGCTGCTGCAGGGCTGGCAGGGTCCTAAATGGACCTATATGCATGATGGGGAGTGCATGGTACTGCGGGCCATGGGAGGAAGTGTCTAGCGCAAGCCCCAGCCCACCTACTTCCTCTCCCAGAGGAAACCTCAGGGACCAGTTTGAAATTTCAGCGTATCTTAGGCTTTTTTTTGGTCTTTTTGAAACAGGGTCTCCTTGTAGCCCCTGCTGTCCTGGAACTCACTATGTAGGCCAGGCTGGCCTCAAACTCACAAAGATCTGCCTGCCTCTGCTTCCTAAGTGCCAGGATTAAAGGTGTGCGCCACCACGCCTGGCCCTTATTTTTAAAAACATTATTTTTATGTGTATACGTGTATTGCCTGCATGTAGGTAAGGGCACCCGTGTCATGCAGTGCCCATGGAAGACAGAAGAGACTGTCAAATACCCTAGAACTGGAGTCACAGACAGTTGTTACCTGCCATGTGGTTGTTGGGAACTGAACCCAGGTCCTCTGCCAGAATAGCCAATGTTCTTAACTGCTGAGCCATCCCTCCAGCCCCTGAAATGGCATCTTTTGATAAGCTTGGTAGAACAACGGTTGGGGATGGTTGTGTAGATAAACACTAATCAGACTTCTCTGCAGAAGTGGCCACCATTTGGTTCTCAAAATTTATTCTTTACTTCCAAGTCATAACCAGCCCTCACTGCCAATTAAGCTACTGAAACAAGGGTTAAGTTCTCTGACACCAGATGGAGCGGGCACAAAATGTTAGAGATGGCACCTCTATCCAAGGGACACCTCAAGGTGGACACTAAACATCAGGAAAAGATGGAGGATGTCTCTCTTTTCCTTAGGATGTTCTTACACCCCCTGGGAGTCAACCCCCCAGAACTTGAAAAAGAAACCATTGCGCTTCTTTCTGTTCCAGGGTGCAGCCACAGAACAAGCTACCAGATGGGGGTTGAGAATGGGTTTTGGCTCCAGAGGAATCATACCCATGCAGGGTGGATAGAGGCTCTCCCCTACAAAGTAGAAAAGCCACAAGAGGTGTCAGAGTCCTACACCAGATTATCCCACAATTTACATGGTAACAGCCCCTGCACTCAAAGCAACTGTCACCCAGGGAATCTGAAATACCTTGTGTATTAAGTACCACCTCCATTGTGCCTAGAGACATCAATCATCTGGAAAGATAGAAAAACTAAATGGCATCCTCAAAGATACCTCCATGCCTGGAGAGATGGTTCAGGGGTTAAGCATGTGTACTGCTCTTGAGGTCAGTTTCAGGGGATCAGTTACATCCTCTTCTGGCTTCCATGGACACTGCACTTATCTGCACACAAAAAGGGTTTTAAACAATTTTAAAGATCCCTCCAGGGATCTGACTGAAGGGGTCACTTACCATGAACTATCTTATTACCCCAGCTTTGGTTAGGGTTTGAAACACCCTGTCTGTAAGTTTGATCTCCTTTGCAATGTTAGGCAAAAGGTCCTCTCTCACTAATGACGTTTTGTTCAGGCAGAGACTTCAGCACTGATAAAATGTGTGACCTTGCTGGCTCACTTTCAACAGGCTCTCCACACAAGTTAGGAACACCCTGCTTCAGCCCTGGGGACCTGACTGAGACAAATGGTGGGTCTTAGACCTGAGATAAGGAACCAGCCAACTGAAAATCATAGTCCAGGCATTCCCTGCCCCTGAGAACCCATCAAGGATTAAAACTTCTCTTCCAGAGGACCAATAAAAGCCTCTCTTTGGGGTGGGTCTTTTCACTTGATCTCTTATCACTGTTCCTTTACAGGCTTACCTACTCCATCTCAGATCCTACTCTACCTGGGCATTCTGACTTGTGGTTTAACTAGCTTAATGGCTTTTCTAGCTGATTCGCTCTTTCTGGTTATGGCCTCCCCGCTCCTTCTGATGTTGGGATTTCTCCCTTATTTCATAATCTATAAAAATGGGATAATATGCCGGGTGTGGTGACGCACGCCTTTAATCCCTGCACTTGGGAGGCAGAGGCAGGTGGATCTCTGTGAGTTCAAGGCCAGCCTGGTCTACATAGTGAGTTCCAGGACAGCTGGGGCTACAGGGAGACCCTGTCTCAAAAAGACAAAAAAAAAAAGGGATAATGACTTCCTAGTCAATTCTTCTCACCCTACAGTGATAGGCACAGTTTAATGTTATGGGGGCTGCCAGGATGAGAGCTGGACCCTGGCAGCCCTAAGGAGCTAGGCTTCACCACTCAGTGGGCCAATTAAACAAATGTAGTGAAACCAGAGAAAGATTTATTCAATATGTCCACACTGGAAAGAGGAATCAAAATGCCCAGAGACACCTCCTGGCCCAAGTCCATGTTCCCCAGGGCCTGATATGAGATGTGAGTTTAAACAGAGGGCAAGAAGCATGCATAACATGCAGTGCTGGGTATCACTGGCCCCTCGCTGTCCTAGCTGCAGCCTCTCCTATAAGGTGGTCTGACAAGTCAGAACTGTGTGAAACTTTCCCAGAGACAAGTTCCTTCTCCATCTGGCACTAGACTTCGGTCTTTTCCTTTTCTCAGCATGAGACCCCTGAGGAAATTCCATTTGGCTGGGGCGGGGGGTGGGGTGTCATTATTTTGCTGGTCTGATAGCTTAAGGGAGGGGCACAAGTGTCTCTTCAGAATATCTTCATCCCTGCCAGGGCAGTTATAAGTCATTTGTTTCCACTGAACACCTGTCAAGGGCCACACCAAACAGTGGAGTCTGATACTGAAAGAACTAGCCTGAGAGGTGAACAGTTGGGGCTCAGAGCCCTTCTTCTGCCTCTTACTGTGTGATCTTGAGCTGATAAGAAGTTGTATTCCTCTAAACAAACTTTTTTTTTTTTTTTTTTTTTTGGTCTTTTTGAGACAGGGTCTCCCTGTAGCCCCAGCTGTCCTGGAACTCACTATGTAGACCAGGTTGGCCTCAAACTCACAGAGATCTGCCTGCCCCTGCCTCCCAAGTGCTGGGACAAACTGTATTCTTATAAAATCTTCTTTTAAGCTTAGACCATTTTGTCGTTTCTTTTTATTTTACTTACTAGGTAGATATCTTGAAATGCAACCCTGTGATATTTTAGTGCTCAGTGATGTTTTACTGCTCTGTGATGTTCTCACTACCCTGAGATGTTTTACTACTCTGTAACATCTTGAAGCTCTGATACTTTCCACATACCATGTCTAACTGCTGATAAAGATGTGAAACTAAGAAAATGGAAAGTTTGCCGGGCGTGGTAGCGCATGCCTTTAATCCAGCACTTGGGAGGTAGAGGCAGGAGGATCTCTGTGAATTCGAGGCCAGCCTGGTCTACATAGTGAGTTCCAGGCCTGCTGGGGCTACTGGGAGACCCTGGTCCAATTAGTCCAAGAATAGTCAAACATGACAGATACCTAAACTTCTGCCAGTAACATC